TTCTGTTGAACTTGTTCATATTGGGTTTCATGGTCTAAGTTGATGAGGATGACTGACAGGTCCCTTCCTCATAAGGACACCAGAACTCATTACAGATGGTTGGGAGCCACCGTGTGGTTGCTGGGAATCGAACTCAGGACCTTTGGAAGAGCAGGCAGTGCTCTTGACTGCTGAGCCATCTAGATGCTGAAAATTCCAAAGTAAATGCAAGGCCCTTTGGGTAGCCTGCCTGTTCGGAGGGGACTAACAAACCAGGACTGAATTTTATAGAAAAGCTCCAAACTAGAGTGGTCCAATATTATCCATGCTAGCTAGGAAATCACATTTCCAAGACACTTGCGGTCCTCCAGTCACCCTTTCAAGACCAGGAATGAAAGCAAAAAGCTAACCAATAGCCCAGCAGCAGAAGCACCTGCTTTCCCTGAGTTCCCATGTGGCCTTCCTCCCTAGCACGAGACATTTACTGCATTTCTACATCTGACATTAAGAGGTTGGACCACGGATCTCACCCTTTAAGGGAGGAAGAGCAATTAGTTATAAAGCACTCTGTGAAGGCCAGAGTTGTGGATCTCAAGATAGTTGATGCTATTTTGTTCCTGCCCTGCTAGAAAGATGAGGACAAACACACACACATACAGTCTTCTTTAATTAGTAGATAAAATAATTTGGTTGTACACATAAATCGTCCCCAAGTTATATCTTAATTTCTTGGTCACGCGGCAAGGAACAATGTATTTATAGTATACTTTCTCTTGCCGCCAGCCTAATGAGAATCAAGAAGAAATGCTTTCTATCAAGAAAAGTCATTTTGAGGACCCTAAGACTCTTCATTCGTTGGCAGAAAATGTTAGTAGTACTAATGGCAGCAGTATCTCTCAAAGCATAAATATTCCACCCCAGATACAGGTCAAAGACATGTTACCTCTGGAGAGCCTGAGAACTGCCGCACATAACCCACCTCCCACCACAGCAGTGGGCGCTTTGGACCAGCCTGACACCGTGACGAATCTCAGCCTTCATCGTTTTCCACTGCCCGTTCCCCAGACTGTGCCGCCTCACACTGCACCTGTGACTCTGGATAAATCCACAATCCCCGCACCTTCTCAGAAGCATGAATTTTGTGAGAACTTAGATGATATCTGTCACTCTATTAAAGAGATGAAAGAAGAGCTTCAAAAGTCGAACGACAGGGAGCTGGCGCTTACAAAGGAACTCCACACTTTCCGGGCGGAGGCAAATACGCAGAGTCACTCGAGATACGAGCTGTTTCCCATTCCGAGTTCCAAACTGAACTTTATTCAGGAAGTGAACGAGGAAGGTAACCTAAGTGAAGACCTCAAGTCAAAGAGAATTTCTGAATTAGAAGCGTTAGTGAGTAAATTACTCCCACTCAGGGAAACAGTGTCGACACTGCATTTAAATTTTTGTAGGAAATGTAAAAAATTATCTAGGAGTGAAGTATGCCGGGGGAAGAGGACTGAGAAAAGTAAAGACATCCCTAGCACCAGCAAGAATATTATGGATTTAAAATTCCACGCCCGAGCTCCAAGGCACACTCTGTCATTCCTTGACCCAGTGAAACACGAAAGGGGGGACAAGGAAGAACAACCACTCGCAGTAAACCAAGGATCAATAACGTTGGAAACGGAGAAGACACCCAAAGACACCTGTGTCACTGAGCAGTGTGTTGCCAAGATTCACTACCTACAGAATTACCTAAAAGAATCCATGCAGAACCAGAAAAAAGTGACAGAACTGGAGAATGAAAACCTGGCCCTTAGGACCAAAATGAAGCCCCTCATCTTCACCACCCAGTCGCTGATACAGAGGGTGGAAACCTACGAGAAGCAGTTGAGGTCTCTGGTGGAAGAAAAGAGCGCCCTCCAGGCCAAGTTAGCGAAAGCGGCGGAAGAAAACAACGACTGCCTCCGGGAACTGAAGAAAATCGTCAGCACGTACAACGTCCTCCAAGGCCAACACAAAATGCTAGAGGAAAAAAACAGTCAACTTTCCCTGGAAAAGCAACAGATGACAGAAACAGTGGATCACTTGAAGAGTAGGGACCACAAGTCCCAAAATGACATGGCCGGTCTCAAAAACGAAAACAACAGAATGAATATAGAAGTAGAAGCAATGAAAACGAACATGCTGCTGCTACAAGACGAAAGAGAAATGCTAGAAAAACACATGTACCAACTCCTGAAAGACAAAGGCTCGCTGGAGAGCGACCTGAAGGAGAGCAAGCTGGAGACGCTACAGCTAAAGGAGAAAGAGAGACTGGCGGAAGCCGAACAGCAGTCTCTTCTGCACATGCTCGAAGCGGCTAAAACCGAAAACCTGAATCTCGAGGCAACGTTACAAGAGTCGGCTTCTGCCAGGCAGACGCTGGAAAGAGAACTGGAGGCCCTTCAAACCTACCAGTCGGCTGCGGAAGAGAACCTCCGGAAAGAAATCAAAAGTGCCAAATCAGAGACGAGCATTTACAAAAACAACTTGGCGGAGATCAGCAAGGAATGTGAGGTGTTATCCAAAATGGTCCTGGAGATCAAGACGGACAACCAGATCCTGAAGGAGGAGCTTAAGAAACACAGCCAAGAGAACACCAAGTTTGAAAACAGCATCAGCCGGCTCACCGAAGACAAGGTGCTTCTGGAAAACTACGCGCGGAGCATAGAAAACGAGAGGGACACGTTGGAATTTGAGATGCGGAATCTTCAGCGAGAGTATCTGAGTCTAAGTGACAGAGTCTCCAGTCACAACAACAGCCCAGCAAAGTCAGCTTCGATTTCAAGACGAGAGAAATTCTACTTTGACAACTGCGCTGCCTATGAAGACGCTTCCAGTCCTAGGAGTCGGCATTTGGCTCCCGATTTGAAAGGTGCGTACGTTCTGACAGATAAGTAGCCGCACCCCTGAGGTTCTTTTCAGCAGGGGCTGGAGAGATGGCTCAGCAGATGAGAGCATTGCAGGAGATTCAGTGACCTCACACAGACATACCCACCTATGTATTTAAAATAAAAGACTCTTTTTACCTTATTGGCACTAACCAAAGTATAGAAATAAGAAGGGAGGCCTAGAGAGGTGACTCAGAGGTTAAGAGTGTAGTGTGCTCCTGGAACCAAGTTCGGTTCCCAGCACCCCATCCTCCTGTAAGACCAGCTCCAGGGGATCCAACACCCTCTTCCAGAGACACCTGCGACCACATATGCAAACCCGCACACAGACACACGTGACAAAAAATAAAACAATCTTTTTGAAGGAAATAGAGAACATGAAGATGAATACAATGTAGTTTTTGTAAGATTTTTTATCGGATTTGTTACAGAATGGAATTATTTAGAAATTTTGTTTTCTAGATGCAATTCAGGTTCTACTTCTATTACTTACCTACACTGAATGTGCACACAACACCTTTGTCAGAGAGACGGGCTCTTGAATCCTTATTGGAAATGATCTTAGCATTCACAGCTTTAAGGCATTTGCTTTTCTTTTTCAGGGATTCCACATAAACTGTATCAACGGCTTCCATCCAAGATATGTAAATAAACTTCAAACGATATCAGTGCTTTAAAAAGTTTTTTTCCAAGTCATTTCCCCCCATAAAAATAATATCGAAGTAACTTTTCCCAGTGATTCTAAAGACATTACACGTGATTAAACTCGTTTTAAAACAGACATTAGAATTGGATTAGCTCGTCGAGAACTGTGAAAAATCTGGTATTAGACTCTAAGATTAAAAGTCACGCTTTTCCACGGCTCCGTGGACGCTAGTGGAAGAATGTGGAAGAATGAGGCTCTGGGTCAGAAAGAGAGGAGAGCCAGCTACTCCAAGCGATGGCCAGAGAAGCCTCCTGTCTGTACTGGTCCTCCAAACGGATTCCCACAGACAACTCAGAGAGCCACATAGCAGATGACATTGTGGCCAAGTAACCTGCCCTGTCTCAAAGGAGACCCAGTCTTGCATAAGCACAGTTTGCCTTTGCTGTGCCGAACCACACTGTCTTATCTATTTTTGCTTTGCAATTCCTTGTTGAATTCTATCAAATGTTTTTCTGCATTTATTGAAGCAATAATTTTTCTCATATATATTACTAATGTAACATTGTTATATTAATTTTGAAACACCTCCTATTCCTGGTTGTATTGTTGTTATTCTTTTAATGTATACCCCTGGGGTTCACCCTTAAGGATTTCTTCTACAATTGGGCATTGGTTTGTGTATTCGCTCACAACAACTTTGTCTGGTTTTAGTATTAGGAAAGTCTTGGCCTCTAAAATGCCAGGTAATATCCTTGCTTGTTAAGTGCTGTATCTCAGTGCCACAGCTATGCCTGGAAGGCAATAAATGAGCGCTGGATGAATAAACTCCCCTCATATGGGACAGTATGTCTCATGCTGGACACTCCTTTAGCAAGGGATCCGGAACAATATGGAGTTTCATGTCTCTCCCTAAAGAGTAAGGAATTTCCTTTGAAGATTTGTAAATGAAACAAATTATTGTTTCCCACCCATTTCCCATTGGTTTCTAATCAATGTCCTTGATAAGACATACCACAGCATAAACTAGAAGCAGGAAGGCCTGCTTTGTTGTGTGTGTGTGTGTGTGTGTGTGTGTGTGTGTGTGTGGTCACTGGTTATCATTCTATATTTGATTGTCTACAAGTAAATAAATTATATTACCCTGATCTCTAATTTTGGTAAAGGCTGTACAGGGGACACTATAACTTGAGAACATCTAGTAATTCTCTTAAATTGTAGAAAACTAAAGAATATGTCTGGGAACATAATATAATTATAAACTGATATATAATGATATAATGATAGTTCTAAGCAGACAGAATTCTTGGCTTTCCACTGCTGGTGGCAGTACCTTGAATAGGAGATTCAACCTTTCTCTGCCTCCGTTTCCCCATCTGTTCCATGAACACCAAATAACAACCACAAACATATTTAAATAAAATGGTACACAGAATGGCTCTCAACACATAGTAGTCATTATATCAGCACTAACTAGTACTTCATTTTTAATATTTAAAAAATACTATAATTGAAAATTTAGTGAGAAATAATAAAATTCAGATTAATAAATTAACTAATAACAAACTATTTGATGTATAATAACGATATAGTCTCTTAAAGTATACGTTATAGCTTGGGAAATGCTTTTAATTATCTCCATGATAATTCCTTCTTCCTGGTAAATAATAAAGAGGGCCTCAAATGGTTAACTTGTTCCAATATGCAAAACTAGCACTGGCCATTTAGACACACACATATATATGTAGCTGTTATGAGCTGCAACATTTACACATAAAATTACCAAGCAGTATCTGTAGAAGCAGCAATCTTGGATATTTCCAAAATATATACTATACTAAGGTTGAACTTTCCAGATGCTTTTTGGAATATCTTGCTACTCACATTTCTCTTTTCAAAACTGAGTCTTATTCATATTCTTTCCCATACACCAAGTCCTCCAGGACCCCCTTCCCTGCCCACCTAATTTTGTGTTCTCTCTCTTAAAAAAATAAAATGAAGACACAAAAGAAAAAAGTCACTAAAAAACATGGAGTCCGCTTTATTGGTCAACTACCCGTGAGCATGAGACCTTCCCAGCAATGTGGTTAATATGCCCAATGACATGTGGAGTCATGTCATTGAAGAAAACTGACTCCCCCCTCCCTATTATTGGGGGATGGCTTCTTGGCTAGGGTGGGCACATGCTGAGAATTTGAGTGGCTTGAGCCTGTGCAGGTCTTGTGAGTTCATGTGGGCATCTGCCTTGTTGTGTCTGGAAGACGCCCTTTCCTGGGAGTCACCCACCATGTTTGGATCTTACAGTCCTTTTACTTCCTGTCCTGCAGCCGTCCCTGAGCCCTTAGGGTAAGAATGAAATAGAGACACTCAGGGCGGACGAGTCTGTGTCTCTGCACAATGCCCAGGGAAGGTCTCTGGTACTCACCACCTACTGCAAGAAGCTTCTCTAATGAGGGTTAGGAGGGCCACTGATCCTCTGTCTGATGTTTAGTTAAGATCATTCTCTTTTCGGTCTTCTTCCTGCTTTCCTGTGGTGGGTTTTGTCTCGGAGACCTGTGGATTTGCCCTTCTGGAAGCAAAATTACTTCAGAAAATGCTGAAAATGAGCAGCCTTCCCAAAATTCCAAGCTACGGTTGTTAAGCCAGACGATTGATTCAAAGATAGGAGACTAATACAGAAAAAAATGTGTGAATTCCTCTTTACCCTCTTGACTTCACTTTTGTGCGCCTCGTGGAGATCATCGCTCTCGGGAATAGGGTAGATTAAGAAACACACTGCCAAGAGATTAGTGCTTCTGCGGCTTCTCACTTCTGTCAGCTGGCACGGATCAATGCACCCAGGAAAGGAACAAGAGGAATTGGGATCCATGGACATTGCCTTGGCATTACATCCCAAGCACACCATTGCTCAGTATTATGGACTCTTATTAGTATCTCCTTCAGGGGCCCCTTTATCATTGAAAATAAAGGTATCCTTTGCCAGATGACGTCAAATGATCTTTCTCTTGGCTGTTCCGTGGATGAGATTCTGAGACTAGTTCAGGCTATCTGGTTCACTGACAAAAGGTGATAAAAAGGGGTCTAGCTGGCTGGGAGCACCTGGCAGTGATACCAGCAAGCTGATGTCCCAAAAAGCCAAGACTATTTCTCCAAGCAGAAGTTGAACTCTGAACTGTGTTTATACCAGGCAGGAAAGGTATCCAGGAAAAGAAAATCTCTTTGGTGCTTTATTCTTGCTTAAGCACAAAACACGGTGTGATTGAAGACATGCCTTTTCTACAGGGTTGGGGAGAGTCGGTCTTCCTTCTCTTGGTGGGAATGACCTGAGCTATGCTGTGGGCAACCTTTCCTATACCCGCAGCAGGGCATCAACCGACTGCTCTTTTGTAATGTCTTCTAAACCTGAGCTGAGAGAGATAAAGTGATCTCTCCCCACTCTGTGGGCTGCCTCACATTCAAATGATGGCGCCCTTTGCTGTACAGAAGTGTTTCTTTCAGAAGGCCCCATTTATGAGTTGTTGGTCTTTTTCATGGTCCTGTTCAGAAAGTCCTTTCCTGGGCCAGTGAGTTCAAGTCGAGTACCTACTTTTGTCTGTCAGATTAGTTAACTCTAGATTAGTCTGGCTGATATATACAAACCTTGTTTTAAGTATTGAAAACAAGTTGTTAAATACGGTGTAGCTGAGATGAATGGCTAGATGAAAAGTTTATCTCGTCTCTTATTCACTGATGGTAAGAAAACTACGCAAGTCATCCCTACATCACAACGGGAAAGAAGACCGTCTGAAGTTGTCTGGAAACAGGATATCAGTTATCAGTTCTAATTGCCTCCAATTTTGTCATATCTGAGTGATTTGTGTTCAAGAGTGAGCAATAAAACTGTTTTGCAGAAAACTACACAATGCTGTATATTTGTATTTTCAAAACTAAAATGAGAAAGATTTTAAAAAATATTATAAGAAAACAGTGTACCCTCAAATTAAATGTGTGTTCTACCCCGATACTGTGGACATCTGAATTTCTTTATATTCTTCAATGCTCCTGTTACTGGCTTCAGCATTTGCTTTACCAAAAATCGATAAAATTTTTAAAAGATTCTACCTAGAGATGAAGATCCAAAAGTACAGTTCAGCGACCCCAGAATAAGCATTAGCTAACACTATTTATTAAGATCAGAAAGGGGGTTACAGCTGAGTCTTGCGTTTGACTTATCTTTAAAAGCTACGGAACCATGTATTCCGTAACACTGTGTACTGTGTGTGCATTCCGGTGAGTAACTTAGAGGAGCTAGAACACCAACTGCTTTCCCAGAATGTCTGCCGAGGCAGTCTTGTAGTTCTTCACATTGAGTGCCCTAAAATTAGAAAATAAATGCACATTTAATTTAATTAGCCTGGGTAGTGTACCTTTGCATTCGTTGAATATTTGCATTAAAAAACTAAACCAACATATTTTATAACATGAAATTCCATAGCAATTGTCTGTGGTGCCGGTATTAAAATCAAGACCTCATAATTCCAGACATGGAATCTGCTTCTGAGCTCAGTGGAACCCAGCCCACGAGCAAAAAAAAAAAAATCTCATTAACTTAAAAAAGCTTTGTACTAAATATATATATATATAAAGATATACTTGGAAAATCTAAGAAAAATATGAACTACATTTTCACCCCTAGTATCTGTGAGTTTATTAGCTTTAAAATTAGTATAGGGGTATTAAAACTGGATTACAGGTGATTAATGACCACATAAAAAGAGAATTCAATAAACTAAGTTACTACCACAAATAAGCCTCTGGTTTTTCCGATTAACAGTCAGTTGCTACTCCCCTGCTCTGACCACATTTCAAGTGTATCAGAGAACCTTCCAGGCTTATTAGAAGATAGCACAGAAAACTTCCACACTGCCCCACAAAATGTCCCATCTGGTTGAAGGTGGGTATGCTAGAGGAAATTCCAGTTTCATTTTCTGTTCTATTGGATGAAGTCCGCAGAGAACTGACAGGTGGCTTTGCAAAGAATAAGGCCAAAGGATACCGAACATGAGTGCCATGTCTCCTATTTCAGACCCAACACTCTGCCCCCTGGCCCACACAGAACATCGCTTCTAAACACCGCAGCTGAAATAACAAATTTACCCCACTAAGCAGAGTAGCCAAGTCACCTGGCTGCATGAGGAAAAGTTGCTTAGAGAAACGGCTCAGTTTTAATTTGCTCTTTTAGAATATTTTAATTTTGTTAAGGGTTATTAAGATTCCACACAATTGCTGAGAAACAGTTAATATAAATACAGATATCCACGCCTTCTCAAGTGACTTGTAATATAGTGCCTTCCATAAGGCAAGGCAGGTATATGGAATGTCACTGGATTTCCTTATTTTTTAAGATTCATTTTTATTTTATATTTGTGAGTGTTTTCCTGCATGTATGTCTATGAAGCACATGGTACCTGCAGAATCCAAAAACAGGGTGTCAGAGTCTCTGGAAAGGGAGTTAAAGGTGTTTTTGGGTTGCTATGTGGGTTCTGAGATTCAAATCCAGGTTCTCTAGGAGGTCAGCCACTGAGCCATCTCTCCAGCCCTTGTGCTCATATCTGCCACTTTAAAAACTATGGACATGGAACTGGAGATGACTCAATGGTTTTGCTGAGGACCCAGCTTCTCTTCTTAGCACCCAGATGGCAGCTCAGAACCATCTGTAACTCCAGATCCAAGGGATCAGATTCCCTCTTTTGGCCTATTCGGGGACCAGGTACACACATGGTACACTCAGACATATAAAATAAAAATAAATAAACTAACTGAAGTATTTGTTAAAGCATCTAAAAGGTAGAAATAATTTTCTTGTTTGTGGACTAAATATGAGATAAGCCTACCTTCTGACATTCAGCGCCATTATACTTTCCACGGGTCTGCTTTTCGGTCCATTTGGGGGATGGAAAACCTTCTCCCCTTTCCCAGGAATCACCTTTCCTAATTTAACCACATAAGGGTCAGCTGAGTGTGCTGGGTAAGGTTCAAATGTCCCTGCCTTCATGCCACCAGGCTATAAATAAAAACAAGATAATTCAATATGTTTGTAGAACGCAGCTACAAAATTACATTGTCAGGAAGCTCAGATATTATTTTCCAGTTGATAGACTTGGTTTTATATTTAAAGTTATCTATTCTGTTCAAATATCAACAAACGGTCTCTCTACTGCCAATTTTGTAGGGTCCAAACATTACAATTCTAATAGTTTTCTATAAAACAGAAATGTTTGCAGGGCTGGAGAGATGGTTCAGTGGTTAAGAACTTTGCCTGCTCTTCCAAAGGTCCTGAGTTCAATTCCCAGCACACGACACGTGTTCACAACCTTCTGTAATGAGATCTGGTGCCCTCTTCTGGCCTGCGGGGATACATGCAGGCAGAACACTGAACACATAATAAAGAAATAAATCTTTATTAAAAAATGTTTGTAGAAGATAATATTCTACATTGTTACCAAACGTTGATATTTTATTGCAATTTTAATCAAGCTATCAACTTGATTTAGTGAGCCTATTAATGAATGGATGAGACAAATGTAAGATATATTTCTCTATGGAAGGGCACAGGGAGCTTACCACTAACATGAGAATGCTGAATTTCAGACAACGATGCCAAGAAGATCCCCTCCCTCCAAAGAGGAATAGCAGAGACACAGACAGTGAGAGGAAACATAATTGGCTCTAGAAAAGCCTTAGGGTCTAGCACAAGAAGTCAATCCAATGATTTTTCTACCTACATGTGAGATACACCAGAAATTACTTGGACTTTTTAAACTGATTTGATGGGATGTTTATCTTTACGTTAGTCACTCTTTAAGAGGATTCTGTGTGGTGACATATGACTGCTATCTCAACCGAGGGCAAAAGATCTCAATTTTAAGGCCTGCCTGGGCTTCTTATAGCTAGAACTTGTGAGTGAAATGTGGAGGAGGAGAGGAGAGGGGAGAAGAGGGGTAAGGGTTAGGGGAGGAGGAACAGAAAAGACAGAACCAAGAAGAATACAGCTCAATGGCAAAGCATGCGCCTACCAAGTGTGAAGCCCTGTTTGGGCCACGGCAATGTAATGAATGAAGTGAAGGAAAGAAGAAAGCAAGCAAACCAATCCATTTGAAGCTGCGAAACAATCCCACACCAGTTAAGAATTAGGGATAATAAAAAGGGTTATTTATTTGAGGGGGAAAACTTACAGATCAGCCAAACAACAACCCTCTCATCGCAAACAGGAAACAGAGAGTCTAGCCGCTGGAAAGGGAGGAGAGAGAGAGAGAGAGAGAGAGAGAGAGAGAGAGAGAGAGAGAGAGAGAGAGAGAGAGAGAGAGAGAGAGAGAGAGAGAGAGAGACCTGTTCACTGGGAATTAATCATATTTAAAACAAACAGCAATTGTTTCGCTGTAACACCTTTCTCATCTCAGCCATGCATTGTAGCTCTATTTTTCGTGAGTGTGAGTGTATGTCTCTGTGTGTGTGTGTGTGTGTGTATGTGTGTTATACATACGGTATGCATACATGCAGATATGTGTACTGGTATGCTTGTCAGTGTCTGGACACGATTTCACAGGCCAACTTACTTTTTGAGACAAGGCTCTCGCTAAACCAGGAACTGACTTCCAGCTACACTGACCAGCCAGCAAGCCCCCTGTGATCAAAGTGTCTCCGCCCTCTGCCCTATATCCATCCCTAAAGCTGATGAGCATGCATCCAGACTCAGCTTTCCCTGGACGCCGGGGATCCAGCTTCAGGTCCTCATTTTGAACAGCGAGCACTTTACCCATAGAGCCATCTCTGCAGCCTGCTCTGTGGCTTTATATGACTTGTAAAACTTCATACAAAGAAAGGCTGATTATTTACACGAGCACTACAATAATTTAACAGCGAAAGACGGACTCTTTCCCACCCACTCCCTTCATGTCCCTCCCTTATTTCCTCTGGTCTTATTTCCAGGGTGGCCTTGAACTCAAAATCCTCTGCTTCAGCTTTCTGCTGTCAGGACAGGGATTGAGAGAATAGGCTCCCATACCCTGCTGGACATGTTATTTCTTTATACTGCTCAATTATTTCTCACTCCAAACTTTTTACCTTTTTACCAGGAGAGGAGGGCTTAAAAGGCTTCAAGATGGTATCCTTCTTTTCTTCCCTTCTGAGTGGAGGTAAAGGATTCTCCAGAAAATAGGGGTTACTGTCAAAATATTCCTTAGGGTGAAGATTCAACTTGAAAGGGGTCCCTTTGAGTAGCCGATGGTGTTCTTCATTATCTTTCTGTAAATTAAAGAGTTTGAAAGTACATGATGTAAGTTATACATGTTAGACGCAATTCTAGGCTAAAATCACCCTTTAAATTAATTATACATGTTTAAAAAAGACATGCCTAATTATGAATAAACACAACTCTCATTTTGAACAGAATTCATTTAGATACAGCAATCTATCACCTGAACCAATCCTTACTACATACCTGGACAGCAGGAAGGAAAAGGATTGGTCTCCAAGTCAAATCCCAGTTCCTTTTTGCTTTTTAGTATTCTTTTTTCAGGAGTTAAAGAAAGCTGCTGACCTTTGGTGTCATGTCTTCAAGTGTAAATAAGAATACTGTTTCCCTTTGACATTGCTAAAGATCAAATGAGATTATGTAGAGAAAGTATTTGGCACATGGTCGGCCCTTAGTAAATATCAGTTTTAGTCCTCAGCACACACACACACACACACACACACACACACACACACACACAAACCTAGTGCTTCTACTGAAACATTTTTATATCATAGTATTTTTTAGCAAAACCAAGGTATTTTTTTTCAGTTTTATATTGCAATTCTTTCCACGTGGAAGATCTAAGTTTAAAAATTGCCAGCTCTAGATATAATAGCAAACAAACAAGTTGTGAAATAAGATTTAGAAGGATAAAATATCGATTTTGTTTTCACTTTACACACATGGAATTTGATATTGCATCCTTTAACAAACTGAATGGAAACTATTTAAATGAGATTGAAGTGCTCAAGAGAAGGCATGCATTCCCCAGTAGGCTGTATTGGCTAGTTCTGTGCCAACTTGACCACAAGCTAGGGCCATTTGGAAAGAGGGACTCTCAGTTGATAAAAAGCCTCCATAGCCTTGTCCAGTAGCATAAAAACAGACACACTGATCAATGGAACTGAACTGAAGATCCAGACATAAGTCTACACATCTTTACACACCTGATTTTTGACAAAGAAGCCAAAAGTACACAGTGAAGAAAAGACAGCATCTTCAACAAATGTTCTTAGTTAAATGGGATGGCTGTATGTAGAAGAATACAAATATATCCATATTTATCACCCTGTACACAATTGAATTCCAAGTGGACCAGGAACCTCAAAATAAAACCAGATACACTGGATCTGATCAAAGAGAACGTGGGGAATAGTCTTGAGTTGCTTGGCACAGAAAAGAACTTTCTGAATAGAACCTCAACAGCACAGCCACGAAGAGCAACAACTAATAAATAAGATCTCACGAAGCTGAAACGCACAGAAATGGGCATGATGTTTCAGGCAAAGCTGCAGTCTACAGAATGAGGTAAAACCTTTACCAATTATACATATATTAAAGGATTAGTATTTAAAACATATAAAGAACTACAAAATCTGAACATCAAGAAGACAAGTAAGTCAGTTGAAAAATAGGTAATAGCGTTAAGCATAAACACAAATAACTAAAGAACTTACAGAAATATTCACTACCTTTCGTCATCAGGGAAAACAAATTAAAACCGCTTTGAGATTTTTCCTCTTACACTAGTCAGAATGACCAAGATCAACTAAACAAATGACAGCTCGTGCTGGTGAGGATGTGGGGGGAAGGGGCACATTCATCCATTGCTGGAGGAGTGTAAACTTGTACAGCCATTATGGAAATTAGCATGGAAGGTCCTCAGGAAGCTGGGAATTGATCTACCTCAAGACCCAACAATACCACTCCTGGGCATGTATTCAAAGGACGTTTCACCCTTCTGTAAGGACCCTTGCTCAACCATGATCATTGCTGCTCTACTCACATTATTCAGAAGTTGGAAACTCTCTAGAAGTCCATCAACTGATAAATGAATAACAAAAGTGTGGTACACTTACACAACGGCATATTATTCAGCTGCTAAGCAATATGAACTTCTCAGGTAAATGGATGGAACTAGAAGCGGGAAAAAAATCATCTTGAGTGATGTAACCCAAACTCCAAATAGACAAGCATATGCGTTCTCTTCCAAGTGGGTGTTAGGTTTTTAAGCCTTTCATGTGAGCTCTACAATATAAATGACCGCAGAGGTTAGGTACCTAATAGGGAACCAGCAAGGAGAAGAACCCCTAAGGAAGGGGAGATAGAATATATTATTATGGAGAGATAAAGGGGAGACTAGGGTAGGAGAATTAACTAGGGTGGAGATGGAAGTAAGGGGTAAGGGAGGGAAGGGGGAAGAGAGAACTAACAGTAAAGGCCATTTGGAAGGCCATATAGAAACCTACTACTATAGAAGCTTCCTAAAACACATACAGACATGAGAGGAAGCTAAGTGGAATCAGCAAATAACAGGAGAAACAGAGCCCCCAACTAGACATCTTATGCTACCAAAACCTCCAACGACAGAAATGAGCATCTTGTTGAGATATTGGCCAAAGGGGCCCTATGTAAAGCTCCTTACAGTACAGATTATGGGCAAGGCTACATGTGTTACTCTTCATGACATGAGGACAAGGCCCTATTGCTGAAGACAAGACTTACAAATGTCATCAAAACCTGAGAAGTTCAGCCAGTTCCTAACTACAAGCTTCACCTAATATCCGTGGTACAGGATGGTACTCTGCATGCTATGGGAGGAAAAAAACGTTATCGTTAAAATCTCCCAGCTACAAACCCTGTGACCTATAACAGTGATCTCCCTCAAAAAATATATGGGTGCATTAGTGGCACAAATATTTTGGGTGTAACCAACCACTTTCTGATTGGATTTAAGGCCATTCAAAGAGATGGAATCCATTCTTTACACTGCTAAAGTGGCCAAGAATCTATATAGGTCATCTGTCTAGGGGAAAACCCAATACTATTATTCTGCTATATTAATATAGCAATTAAATGACTCAGTGATGTAGTGCCCTCCCCATAGATGGGGCTTGTCCAGCCCTCATCAGAGAAGCGTCTTCTTGTAGTGTATTATAATTAAACAGATATCCACAACTTGAAAGTGCATAAAGAGAGAGACTTTAGAGTTCTTAGTCCTATAGGGGATGTCTTCATCAAAGCCCTCCCCCCAAGACTCAAGGAATCTATGCAAAAGAGGAGACAGAAAGATTGAGAGCCAGAGGTGATGGATGACTCCAAGGAAACAGAGTCTTCCAGACCCAACAGGACTGATGTACATATGAGCTCAGAGACTGGCAGTATGCACAGCCCCACACAGGTTCAGTCACGCTGGATGGGTTCCAGCAAGGAGAGGGGAAGTGGACAAGTGGACATGGCCTCCCTGGAATCTAGAAACTAGCTGCATTTGATACCTGCTGGCAAAGATAAAACCAGTCTTCTCCAATGAAGTGTCACTGACTATGTCAACCATACTTCAAGGCGGGGCCCCATTCCCAGGTGTTGCCAACCAACACAAAATGAACTCAATGGGATGTTTGTAGTTATTGTGCCTTGTTTAGGTAATTGATCTTTAGATTGTTTGACTTCCATTTTCATGGGTTTGTGAGTTTTGGGTTTGGGGTTTTCTGTTTTTGTGGTTTGGTTTGGTTTTGTGTTGTTTGTGTGCATACATGTGTTTCTTGATTTGTTTGTTTGTTTTAAAGCAATGGTTCTCAACCTCCCTAATGCTGCAACCCTTTAATACAGTTATTATTATGTTTTTTATTTTATTATTATTATGTTATTTTATGTTTATTATTATTATATTATGGTGAGCCCCAACCATAAAATTATTTCATTGCTACTTCATCACTGTAATTTTTCTACTGTTATGAATGGCAAAGTAAACATCTGATATGCAGGGTATCTGATACACGACCCTAAAGGGGTTGTGACCCACAGGTTGATAGCCACTGTTTTAAAGAGTGAGAAGATAAAGTTGGGTACATAGGGAGGGAGAGATGATCTTGGAGGAACTGAGAGAGGGGGAAACATGATCAAAATATATTATATGAAAAACACATTTTTTAAATTAAAAACAAAAGACTGGCCAGTAGGCAACTCTGTAGTAGATTTTACTAATTAGTGATTGATATGGGATCTCATGAGTGGTGTAGCCCTTGAGCTGGTGGTCATTCCTGAGAACTATAAGAAAGCAGGCTAAGCAAGCCAGTAAGCAGCCTCATTTTTGCTTCAGTTCCCACATCCAGGTTCCTGCCCCACGTGAGTTCCTGCCCTGATATCCCTCAGGGATGGTGTGCAACCTGAGAATTACAAGTTTAAATAAGGTCTTCCTCCCCAAATGCCTCCGCCACAGTGTTTTATCATAGCTACAGAAACCCTAAGACAGAAGTGTAAGCTGCCTCTCAGAGTCCTTACTCCTCTTGGTGTCTCCTCCTGCTTTGCGTATCTCCATTTCCCTATAGAACTTTGTGAGTTCTTAACCACCTGCCCTCCTCTTTCCACGTGGAGCAGTGGTATTGACCTTTCAACTATTATGCGTACCCTTTGAACAGTGCTCCTTGAAATTCAGTTCTCATGGGAATCAATTGATAACGCATTCAGATTATAAATCACAAAGACCTTCCCTCAAAGACCTCTGATTACACTGACCCACTCTGTGGTCTTATTTTTTTTTATCAGAAATATTAACAGTCACCCTATGTGATTCTAATGCCTGCTATTATAATGGAATTTTTAAAAAATGCATTGGATGTTTTGCCTATGTACACATCTGTTAACCACTTGCATGCCTATTGTCAACAGAGGCCAGAAGAGGACATGGGAATCCCCTGGAACCAGAGTTACAGGTGGTTGTAAACTGCTATGTGAATTCTGGGAATCAAACCTGGGTCTCCTGGGAGAGAAGCCAGTGCAGTTAACCACTGAATCCTCTCTCCAGTCCCACATGGCAATGTTTTAAGGATCCTGTTTACTAGACTGTGGTCATATTTGATCATAACACCGTATTTGATTTTTGATTTACTAACTGCTGACCTGGAATATTGCGGACCAACACACAGATCAAAATACCCCAGTGATCAAAATAGACAGAACAAAATAAAACTTTATTGTGAGTTAATTTTCAAAGTTGAACAGATAAAGGTTGGAAGATTCAAAACAGGCGACTTTACCTTGTAATTCAGTTTGGCAGCATCGTATAAGTCGGCGGAGTGTGAGAGCTGCTTGCCTATGGTAATATTGGCATAGCTAGAGAAGGAGCAAATAGTGGTGAGTGCAGGGCTCGGGTGATTTTATAAACAAAAAGCAATATATGGTGCCAAGAGTATCTTACCCATATCCAGTTCCTTTTTTTCCTGGGTTGGTGTATAAATTCTTCCCAGGTGGCTGATACTTGTCCCTGGGTTTTATCTGTGCACTGAAGAATGGGATCGGGCCACCAATTGTTCCGTAATAGCTTCCTAATCCGCTTCTTCAATGTCATTTGGGGTTTTAAAGGGGGAGATCGTAAAACGCCAAATTTCATTTATATATTTCACCACAAATTATAAGCACATTTTAAAGCATTGAACAAAGCAGAAATCCTGGCTAGACTGGCTGACTGCACTGGGTATGTGTTTCCTCCTGTGGGGTGGTCCTTAAATGCAATCAGAAATCAATCGGTTATCCCTATAAGCCATGTCACTGTTGAGCCCCTGGCCATATCTTGCCACAGGGGTCATTATTGTAGTTCATAGCTGGATAAGACTGCTGATGGCTTTTTGCCCCCAAAACAGGTTACATAGCACTCTTTGATACGGAGAGCTGGTCATCAGAAAGGAAGATTCCTGGTGAATACCACCTTAATTTCTCCATGTTCTCTGATTCATGCATATTTATAAAAAGAGTTTAGTTAGAGTAGCCCTACATTAGGAATAATATTTTCCCCAGAAGCCATAGGTTGTCAAATAAAAAGTTCTGTGTTGGGTATGGGGTACCACCCTTCAGCTTTTGAGTCAGGGCTGTCCCAGAGTCCCGCAGACAACACAGGCTCTTGCCACTGCTCTTGGCTATCCACCAGAAGTTGGTGGTTTAGACCCTATTGCTGAACATACATGAATCATAAAACATGGAGAAATTAAGTTGGAACTGGCCAGAAAGCTTCCTTCCTGATGACCAGCTCTCAGTACTAAAAGGTGCTATGTAGCCTGCCTTGGGCAAAAAGCCATTAGCAGTCTTGTCTAGCTATGAATTACAAGAAAGGACGCTGTGGCGAGACATCCCCATAGGTACCAGGGTGGCATGACTATTATAGGGGTAACCGACTGATTTCTGGCGTATTTAAGGTCACCTCCTCAAGAGGAAATATGGCTGGTAGAGTAAATCTAGCCAAGAATCCATGGTAGGGACCTCACAGCTCATGGGGGTGAGTCTATGACTCATTTCTGCCAAATACACATAGGATCGACCTGCTCTCTAAATTTCTTTCTCTATGCCTGTAGATCAGTGCAGCTCAGACATCCAGCAGAGGAATGTCTTTCTGCAATGGACCGTGGTTAACTCAAAAACTCACAGCTGGTCCAAATGCAGAAAATAAGCAGCCGTAGAGCACTTAGGCACAAATGGGACATGCGCAGGACCCGACCGCCTCACTGCAAGGCTCGGCAACCATCTCAGGACAGAGGACGGAAAGATTGGCAGGGAGGACCCGAGCCAAACAGCGTTTCTGGACAGGACAGAAGCACTGCCCTCCTGAACTCAGAGCATCTGGGGCTGCATGTACACGACAGCCAAGAGATCAAGCCAATCAACGCTGAGCACGGAAGGGGAAAGAGCTCAGAGCTTTCACCCCTGAGAATCTATGGACAGTTGGCTTCCGGGAAAGGAGAACTGGTTTTCTTTAAGGTGTGGTCCCTAGCGAGTCCACCAAGCTCCAGAAGATGTCCCCACACCCGGGAGTATGTGGGAAGCACAAATTGAACTCCTCGGAAAAGAGGATACAAGGTTGAGGGGGGTAGAGAAATGGAAGATGGGGTGGGGGGAAGGACAAACATATTGCGTGAATTTCTCAAAGAACTAATAAAATATCACATTTATAAAAGATTACCTGTTAGCTGGAAGTCTGAACTATAGAAATGGAGTCTCACTAATTTCGAGTATATAAGAATGAAATTAGTTTCGATCATTCCTCAACTACCATGACTTCTAAACTAAGAAAAATCAAACTTATAAAGTGTGAGTGAAAAATCATATTTTAAATCTTAGTTATATAACGTAATATAGCATATAGTCTTGTGATTTAATGGAAAGGGAAGGGAAAAGAACTTTCACTTTGACAGCTGCTATAATCCATATACAATATATCAGTGATAAATTATTTTTTGTCTAAAAAGCATTTATTTTCATTCCACAGTAGTATTTATAATTTTTATAAGCAGAAAAAATATACAAGGGCATAAACATGGTGTCCCAAGGCATTTTCCATCATCATTTTTGCAAAATTTTTGCAAAAAAATGTATCTTCATTATCTAATTGGCTTTTATTAAATAAACTAATAAAGAACAGTAGTGACCCAGATAATAAAAAAAATGAATGTAGAAAGAGCTATTTAAAGTTGCATGTCAATCTGTATCATACAAAACAACTGTCTCTACTAAAGACAATCATAGTTCAAAATTAAGTCCCACAGAAAAGCATCCACTTTAAAGAGAGAAGCGGGAGCGAGATAAGGTATTTTCCCGCCACACTTACGGTTTTTTCTCTCCACTACTAGGGATGAAGGCTTTGCTGAGGTTTTTCTTGGCTTCTGCCATCATATGCCGCCTCCTCACTTGGTTCAGGCTCACATAGCCTTCCCCTTCAAAGACCCTTGCGAACTGGGGCTCGAAGTACCCAGCCTGGAGATGGGACATTTCCTTTGATCCCCCGGGTAGCATCTGTCTGTTTTTGCTTGCAGCCTCATTAAAGGGGCCTTCAGAAATAAAGAGCGTTATAATCTCGACTTCAATACTAATCAAAGGGCATTAAAATGAAAGCAGAAAAATTCTCAAGATGATGAGCCAATTAAGAGTTTCAGCTGTAAAATACTAAAATCGGCATGAAAAGTGACATCAACAGTAACATCTAAGAGGTTTTCATGAAAACATCTGGACATTTGGGTGGAAGTGGGTTTTCTGTTTGTTTTTTAACTTGTTTTTTTTTGTTGTTGTTCGTTTTGTTTTGTTTTTGTTTGTTTGTTTTTTGAGACAGGGTTTCTCTGTGTAGCTCTAGTGTTCCCGGAACTCATTTTGTGGACCAGACTGGCCTCCAACTCAGAGATCTGCCTGACTCTGTTCCTGGAGTGCTGTGTGGGAGGGGGAGATTAAAGGTGTGCCCCGTGGAGATGAAGACCTTAAAACAGTGGTTCTCAGCCTTCCTAGTGCTGTGACCCTTTAATGCAGTTCCCCATGTTGTGGTGACTCCCAACCAGAAGATTATTTTCATTGATACTTCATAACTGTGATTTTTGCTATCATTATGAATCATAATTTAAATATTTTGGGAGCTAGAGGTTTGCCAAAGGTATGGAGAACCACAGGTTGAGAACCTGCTCACTGCCTTAAAAGCTCATCTCCATAGCTAGAGAGATGGTTCAGTGGTTAAGAGCATTGCCTGCTCTTCCAAAGGTCCTGAGTTCAATTCCCGGCAACCACATGGTGGCTCACAACCATCTATAATAAGGTGCCCTCTTCTGGCCTGCAGACATGCACACAGACAGAATATTGTATACATAATAAATAAATAAATAAAATTATTTTTTTTAAAAAAAGCTCATCTCCAGTGTTTCCATGGACAGCAGGAACAGTGCTTATGTGTAATATCAGGAAGGGGACATTCCACAGTCACAATGAAGCAACCCTGTTCTAGGTGTATCTTAAGACGCTTAAGTGCCTATGTTCACAAGAGCCCAGAATGTTCACTTTCATTTTTAATGAAAGTAAGAAACGGCCCAAGCTCTGCCTATATGATCAGTCTTCAAGTGTCATATTTGCACAACAAAATAATGCAGTTTAGGAATTTGTTTAAAGGCAACTTTTTGTGAATATGTAGATTTTCACAATTTGAATCTTGAAAGCCTTAACTTCCAAACTGCAAAGAATGTTTTTAACGTGTACACAATCCTAAATGTGAATTTGCTTACTCATTTTGGTAACTTAAATTTTTGTTTTGTTTTGCTTTTTGTTTGTTAGAAACAGGGTCTCACTATGTATCTTTGGCTGGCCTGGGATTCTCAAGGTAGACCAGGCTGGCCTTGAACTCACAGTGACCCACCTGTCTCCTGTTAGCTTACATTTTTGAAAAGGTTACACTATACATATAACCTCAAACCCTACCATATAAACATCTTAATGAGTCTTTCTTGCTGTGGTTGGTTGCCTGCTTTCCTTTACAGATAATGGTACTAATTTTGTCATCCAGAGAATAGCTCAATATTCTCATGGATATTGTGTAGCACTTTTTTTAATCATCGATGTTTAGCATAATACATAAACTACTCTTATACCTTGACTTTCTAGTTAATCATTTGCCTTGGACATGTTTCTATATAGTTAACTTTTCGTTAAACAAAATCCGAGACTTTGAAAGTATATATTTATATTTTTTCTTGAGGTGGGATATCCTGTAGCCCAGGCTGGCCTTAAACTCCCTATCATTCTCCCTCCACCTCCCAAGTACTAGGATTACTGTAATGGACGACCACACCCAGTTAACTTAAATCTTTTGGTTATGACTTTTCTTTAAAAAGAAATCTTACAGCTGTTCAGCTAGTATTTCATTTTTCAGACAAGTGATAATAGATACCACTCATAGATTCAAATGTGTCTGTAGAATAGTGTCCCGTCTAAGACAAAAAGCTAAACATGGGGCAGGAGAGATGGGTTAGTGGTTAAGATCACTTGCTTCTCTTGCAGAGAGGTCCTGGGTTCACTTCCCAGAACATCAGTTTCCAGAGAATTGGTTATCTCCTTCAGACTTTCATGGACACCAGGCACACATGTGGTGTACCTACATACATGCAGCCAAATACTCATCCACATGGAACAAACCAATAAAAATGTAAGAAGTTAAAAGCACAATATTCTTGAGGGAACTTACCGTGGAAAGAAATAAAATTACCCATGAAGAACAAATGAAGGTGGGGCTAGAGAGGTGGCTCCGTGGTTAAGGACACGTTTCCCAGCACCCACACAGCATCTAGTAATCATCTGTAACTCCAGTTCCAGGAGATCTGGCGCCCTCTTCTGGTCTCCCCGGGCACATGCATGAATGTGGTACACAGACACACATGTGGGCAATATACCCACACACATAAAAAAAAAATACTTCTAAAAAGTTTTCAAAGAATAAGTGGAGGTAAAGGAGCCCAGCTCATAAATTAAATCATTCTAAACTCTGCTATAATGTCAAAGTCGTCAGTGTCACAATGTCAACGCTAGAACTCGATACTCTAAAATATATACCATTAAAAGATAATATAATATTGCCAGGCATGGTGGCACACACCTTATCCCAGGACTCTGGAGGCAGAGACAGGTGAATCTTAGGGCATTCAAGGCCATCCTTATCTATATAGCTAGTTATAGGACAGCCAGAGAATTACAGACTCTCTCTCTCTCTCTCTCTCTCTCTCTCTCTCTCTCTCTCTCTCTCCATATATGTGTGTGTATTATATGTGTGTGTATTCCCTTGAAATAAAATCAATTTTTTTGAATTTTTGTGTTGGAGATGCACGCTATTTAACTATTAAAACTACCAGAGATACTCACGATTAAATGGTGACACGTATTTATCTCCCACGGTAATGTATTCCATCTCACTGAAGAGGCCAATCCTCTCCATATCGGTTTTCCCTGCTTCCCCAGGCATGATTGCGTCTTGGGGTGGTGACTTCAGAAGGGTCCTTAGATCTTCTTTTGCAACAAAATCCTACTTTACATTAAAAACTACAGAAAATTGTTTTTCTTAGTGGGAAAAAAAGATTACTAAATTTCAAACCTAATTCTTTTCAGTTTTCAGACCGGTCAGTTTGTTCATTGCTTCTTCTCTCTCTCTCTCTCTCTCTCTCTCTCTCTCTCTCTCTCTCTCTCTCTCTCTCTCNTCTCTCTCTCTCTCTCTCTCTCTCTCTCTCTCTCTCTCTCTCTCTCTCTCTCTCTCTCTCTCACACACACACACACACACACACACACACAACTGCCGCCCCCATCAGATCGACTAGTGCACAGCCTTCCCAAGTATGGCCATCTAACCGTGTAGGCAACCTTTGTTTCCCCCGTGAACTGATGGCTCCACAGATGGGGACCGTGGTATGAGGATGGATCCTCTTCACCACCCTCTTGAGGCAAAGGTTTTCACTAAGCTGCCCGCCCTGGAAGGGAACTGCAGTAATCAAGGGCCTAGCCTCCAGAAAATGGCTAGAAGGACAAAGCCCTAACACCACCCTCCACTCCTTTAGTTACCAGTGTAGCCCCAGAGCCCGCACAACCAGGGAGGAGGGCTCTCGTTTTCCACTGTGTCCCGACCTTAAATTAACTCCTAAGTAAACTTACAAAGCATTCATTGACATATTTAACAAATGCTTTGCAAACCTCTCCTCCTGCAGGTAGAAGCAGGAAAACAGATTTAAAAGGCATAAAGCTTGGCTTATATAATAAAGTAGACAAGAAAATCGTGAAATTCCACACAAGCAGAATATAGCAAGTTCCCTTCAAAACGTTTGGATAAGAAGGTTCTTCTGCCATAGTCCTGCCCACCGCAACCTTGCAATTTACTCAATAGATACTTTACTGTGTCAAGGTGTGTTAGGAATATTTCTTAGACGAGCCTGGGCTGGGATGAGGCCCCCGACTATAATAGATGGACGGGGAGGGTTAGCTAAAAGGGAGAAAATAATTGAACTGAGTTATTTCAACTCAAGGAAAGGAGGCTTGAACTAGGCAGGTATCAAAGGAACACCCCATGTCCGCGAGGCCAAGTCACCTATCCAAAGGGCACCTAATCCCCCAACCAGGATCGGACGGCCCCAGCTCCAGTCGAGGTCCAGTCCACTGCAGAGCTCGGAGAGCTCGGGGACCGCGCGCCGGCGCTCGTGCCCACAGCACAGCTGCAGAGCGGCGCGCGTAGCACAGTTCTGTCAGCCGCCGCTGGCGCTTGTTGGGCCGCGTTGCCGAGGGAACGGGAGAAACCATTCTCAACAGGCTACGGGTGGTCACCGGAACGCTCGAATCCGCATAGAACATCTGAGAAGGCCAATTAACGTCCGTAGGACACGAAAATCTCGGCCAGAAAAAAAAATTCTCTCGAAAACAACCTTCTGTTTTCCGGCCCTCTAGCCACCGGCGAACTGTTGCAGTGTGGTACGCTCCGTGACGGCTGATGCGAAGCATTCTGGGAGTTGTAGTCCGCCTGCCGGGGTCCGGCCTTCTGAGGGCTTTGACGCCACTTCCGGGCCGACCTTGGCTTGCACGAAATCGTCATTCCTGTCACCTCCAGGTGGTGAACCTGGTAAGTGATTCTGATTGTTAGTGACCCTCCTGTGCTTCCTCCTAGGACTTCAGCAACCCTTAGGAGAATGGCTCCAGTCCCCTGGGAGGAGCCGGCCCCGAGGGGCCAATGGTGGCAGTGCAAAATTTCCTCCCTTGGGTGTCGCAGCTGCCTAGCACCCGGACTCCCGATCCTCGGGGTCAGTCATTGCATCGTGACAGTGAGACAGTTTTTGGTGTATTCGGGAGCGATGAAGAAAGAACTCTTGATTTTGGAAAGATAGGCGTAACTTCCTTCGAAGCGTCTACTCCCTTCGCTTACGTGCCACCGCACTCTCCTTGCTTCAGCTCTGGTCTCCTAGCTCGGCCAGCTCCTGCCATCTGTACCGTAGATGCTTATCTTCTTCAGATATACTTGGCACCCTGAGCTTTTTCTCTTTTCCTCGGAACCCATCTCATAAATCTACTTAACTGCTTCCTCTTAAATAGATCGTTCAGGACTCAGCAGTTGTCGAGCTGACTCGTCATTTCCACCTCCCGTCTCCACACTCTTCCGTCAGAATACACATCTTGGCAGATAACCCAATTCATCCATCTTGTGCCCACCAAACACTTGACTAATGTGTCCCATCTCAAGCCAATAGTAAAATCTTTTGGATTCTACTTCTGAGCATCTATAATATCACCTTCTTACCCTTACCATCTGGAACTTTGCCGTCATCCACTTGGGTCCTATTCTTAGTGGTCTTTTGCTTTGCTTTGGTTTTAAGACAGTGTTTCACAAAACCCAGGCTGGAGGCAGAGGCAGGCGGATCTCTGTGAGTTCGAGACCAGCCTGGTCTACAGAGCTAGTGCCAGGATAGGCTCCAAAGCCACAGAGAAACCCTGTCTCGAAAAATAAAAATAATAATAAAAAAAAAAAAACAGGCTGCCCTTGAACTGGCTATACAGCCGAGAATGACTTTGAAATCCCGATCTTCCTGCCTTCACCTTCCACGTGTTGGGATAGCCATATACCACATCAGTCTTCATACATGTTGTTTTAAGCAGGCCTTCAGCAGGTGGTCACTCTGCCTGGAATGGGCACTTTGGCACACACACACATACTACACCCCTTTCCTTTGGAAATTTTAAGGCTTCTTTCAATAGCTTGCCCTTCAGATTTCAGCGTAAACATTACATCCCCAGAGAGGATCATGATTCAGAAGCCTGAAGACACTCTGGGGTTTTCACACATGGTTTCTTAAGGAATCTTCGTAACAACCCTGGGAAGCTGTATCTTTTTTATCCCCCTGCATTTACAGAAGAGAACAGACATAGGTGCTTTAGTCAAAGTCATACAGGAAATGCCTGAGTTAAAATTTACTCTTCCTTGTCTTTTACAACTTCATTTTAAGGTTTTTTTTATTCAAATAGTAGTAGTGTCTTTATCAAACATCTTACTGGGTCAGGCAGCAGTAGCACACTCCTTTAATCCCAGTACCCGGGAGGCAGAGGCAGGTGAATCTCTCTGAGTTCCAGGTCAGCCTGGACTACATAGTGAGTTCCAGGACAGTCAGAGAGTCTCAGGGAAACCCTGTCTTTAAAACACACACACACAGAGAGACAAAAAAACTTCTTACTGTTAGCTCACGCAATATTTTCCCAATCCTTTGGTTTGGTGTCTTATGATAAACAACAGTAGGATAAACGGACATTGTTATGTGTTGAACTTTTTGTTTGCTTAGAATGAAGTCAATGGAGTGGAATTGGACATGTGGTATGCTCTTTTAATAGGTGACAGTGGTTAAATTAATGCTGTCACTTTTACCAAAAAAGTGACAAGAAATTTGCAAAATAAAAAACAGTTATAGTACCTACTTCCTAGTGTTCTGAGGATCAAAGATAATATGCACCCAGCGGCTGGTCATTGAGGGCAGCCGGTGTGAGTGCTTGCTTGTTTGTTTCAGTCCTGGGTGGACACAGAAGCTGTGTTAGTGCCTTTGTGACTGCTGTAATAGGACACCATGCACAGGACCAAGAGGGTAGTTGTGCTGTCCGTTCCAGAGATTGAATCTGTGATGGTGTTGGCAGAGGCTTGGAGAAGCCTGTGGAGCAACCAATGAGAGCTCCCATCTGGATCCATACACAAGAGGCAGAGAGCATCCTGGGAATGGTGGGAGGCTCTTGAAGCCCCAAAGCCACCCTCCATGGCAGACCACCTCCAGCAACATCACACCTCTTAATCCTTCCCAAACAGTCCCACCCACTGGGTACCAGGTCTTCAGACAGGAGCCTATGGGAGTCATTCCCATTCAGAGCATCACAGGTTCTTATTGTGTAACGTAGTTCTTCAGCCCATTCGGGGCCTGTTCGAGAATCCTCAAGGTCACCCCCACCGCCACTCGGCACACACTTAAAGACTCCTGGTACAGGTCTTTTGTTTATCCTTTGCTGTTGAAACTCAGCCTGTGGGTCCAAGTTGAGAACTGCTGGTCTCTTCCGCTTTGCAGATGCTTTTTCTCTCTGTCCGTGGCAAGCATCGTCCGAGGCCAGGTAAAGTCTGTCTAAAACGCTCTCTCTAGCTATGTGCTATTCATGTTGCTGGCAGTTAGGTTAGTTTCGTTATACTCCAATCTCGGCGTAAGATCATGAGTGGACCTTTTAAGACGGCGAGTTCTACCGATGTCTACTCTCGCCACCAGCGGTTACCCTGCTCTCATTGGCTTAGTCACAATCTCATGTTAGACTCAGTGTTCTTGTCACATTCTTGAACTAGTTTTATACCACTGATGTTGCATATCATTGATAAATGCATCAAGACCATGATTAAAAGCTTTAATGCATTGTAATCACAATGAATGGAAGTAGGGAGGCTTTTACATATTCTTGTGCCTGGGCCAGCTGTATGCCATTGATTCGGATGTCCGGGCATGTCTCCTGGATGTCCATATTCCTGGGTGTCAGAATTTTAAGCTCCCTGGGGGATTTCAGTATGAAATTCGGGTTTGAAGAACACTTTTTAGAATTTGCAGGGGTTGTTGTATATTTCCACCTAAAGAATTAACCTGTAAGATTAGTGCAGAATTTTAGTGCCGTACCCTAAACTGAAGTAGATTCTAGTTTACGTGAAGATGAGTTTGTTTCACTTTACATGGGAATTATGGTTACATTTGTTCTAGGTGATCCCCAAAGCCATGGATATACTCTTCAGAATAAGAGGAGGCTTTGATCTGGCTTTTCAGCTAGCCACCCCTAAAGGTATGTCTTCCCAAGTGTAAGGTCCGCCTGCACTACGGGACGGTTTGCGAGCCGGGAAAGGGGCCTGGAGATTCAAACACACAGAGACAGAGATACGGGTCATTCTTGAATTCCCCCTTTATTGTGGTCCAGCTTTATTGCAGCTTAAATAGGGATCCTTAACTGATAGTCACGCCCCCGTCAAAACCACTCCCCTGCCATCAGGAACTCCTGAGTGCTCAGAGCAGCTGCAAGCACAGGAAAACAAGTTGTTTTGCTCGGAGCAGCTGCAAGCATTGGAAAACAAGTTGTTTACAGAAAATTCAGGTTCTGGGGGTTCATAGCCCCCAACACCAAAGCTTCTTTATTATCAAATTTATAGTGATACATATTGAGGATAACATAAGAAAAATAAATTACACTCAAATTAAATGGAATTCAAATTTAGATTCTCTAATTCCCTGACCAGCCCACAGGGCACCTCTGAACCTTTAGGGTTGTCTTGAAGAAAATTTCTTTTTCTCTCTCTCTCTCTCTCTCTCTCTCTCTCTCTCTCTCTCTCTCTCTCTCTCTTGCACACACACACACACACACACACACACATACACACAGATGTGAACTATCCCAAATGAACACAGTGTAAACAGAACCTGGAAGCTGCACACTGCAGAGTTGTAATGTGCGTTACCCATGCCCTAGTACCCAAGTCTCTTAAATGCTGTAGTGTATTGTAATGTTAGAAGAAATTCGGAGGAGAAGAAAATCAGCGGAATTTTTATAAAGCAAATTCCAGGATGTCTTCTAGCTTCTGGCTGAGGCTAATGCTGAACACTGAGACAGACAGTGCCCGGGGAGGAGTATGGGAAATCACGGCCCAGACACCATGCTTTTGAGATGCCGCTGGGACATCGTGTTCAGGTTTCCAGCGAGCACTTAGTTGACTCTGAAGCTCAGCAGAGAGTGGTCAGAACGGGGTGGAGAACGTGAGATTGGAAGGACGCGGCTAACTCTCTGACAGTAAGTGAAGTTATCCCTGACAGTGCGTCGGTGATCTTAGAGGACAGACATTCAGAAGATCAGGGACGAAAAGTGAAGGGGGCGCGAAGAGTGGCCGCAAACAGGGGCAGAGCTTCCCTTTGAGGGTGTGAACATCTTTATAATGACCGCTTTTTAAAAACGCTAGAATTGATTGTAAATTGTTATAGATACTCTACAAGCCATCAGATGAAATTTATGGTCTCAGAATCCTAAAGGCAGAGAGGCCAGAATTCTGATAGTGATTGAAAAGTGGAGGGGGGGGGCGGTGTTTGAGAGTCACGTCCTCTGTGTACTTTTGCCTTCCACGTAGAAACGTTTGTCAAGAGCGCACTAAGACAGGTGTTGAATGACCTGACGACCAAGCTCTCTTCAGACGCCCTTGTCTTCAGAATCCACAACAGCTCCGTG